CACCACTTCCTTCCTGAAGGAGTTCCTGTGGTTGATGTTCATCACGGCTCCATAAACCTGCAGGATGAAGAGGTAAGAGAAGAAAGACAGTTTGGGACACGCTAACGTGGCACCGTATAACATGTGTTATAAACCAGACACTGAACCAGCAATGTGGAGCTGAAAGCACACATTCAGATTTTCATACACACACATACATCATATAGGTTGATACCTTCACACTCATCAGTAAGGCATATTAACTAGACAATGGTCTGTCTTCATGGTATGCCAACCCTAATTACTTTGGAGAGGAGGTGGACTGGTTTGCTTACTTCTTAAGCACGTGGATTTGGGTTAGTAAGCAGGGCCAAACAGCTATTTCAGATGTAGTCATCTAAACAGTAAATATCAGTCAGTGTGGAAGAAGCACAACCCTCTCTCCACAGGTTTGATTCCTCAACAAATGTCCTGATTCACTGATGGAAATACCACAGAAAATGACATGTCAGCGCCATGTTACCTTGAGGGACTTGGGGAACTCCACCTTAACATTTTCTCCAGCATCTGCAGCTTCATGGAGCAGTGCAGCACTAGCATCTTCCTTGCTGGGAACACACACAAGGTATAAAGAGTCACTCAGAAAAGTAATAACGTGGAGGAACTGAGTGGCATAATTGCTAATTTCATAAAATACAATGGCTCCTGCAAATGCTCTATTTCAGCACTTTCCTATGGAAAGCATTTTGGGAATAATGTTTTTTTTCAATAGATGGATGTGCAGAGAACAGCAAGATGGAATGCTGTTTGGCAGACCAAATTGAAGACAGACAATCCTGGGCTTAATTTGTTATTCTACACCAGGTTCCTTGTGCAACATCAGGCAGGTCACTTAAAGAGAGGTTCAAAAAGAGGGCTTTCTCATGTCTGCCCCAAAACTCATGTTAGTTTTTCCTGGTAAAAACTGTAAAAATAAATTCTTACCATCAAATTCTTGAAGCCTAGATACAACTGACCTTACTGGTTACTAACAAGTAATTTGTAGTATGTTGATTCCGCCTTTAAATTTTTAGGCTATGATTTGGGACAGTTCATATACCAGGGTATACCTCTCTTCAGCAGAAGAGTTATTGTGAGAATGACAGCCACAAATCTTATTTGTGAAACAGCAGCCTTGCCTTGGTAACTTTTTTTTCTTTCCACCTTTGCTGTAAATCTAAACTAACTCATCCAAAACAACAGGATTACAGCCTGCCAAAAAAAAAAAAAAAAAGGCAAAAAAACCCCAAAAACCAAACCCGCCAAAACACCCAGAAGCAATAAAAAGATATCTTCACTTAAAAAGTACAAGGAAAGAATTCAAATTCTAAGGTTTCTCAGAAGTACCTTTCAGCACTTTCAGTCTTGTAGTTTGTCCTTCCAAAGTGCAATGATAAACTTGAAGTTAGAAGACAATAAAATCTATCTGCTTTGTGGCTGCTTTCGCATGGGGAATGACAAGAGTCCTTGTCCAGAATCTTAAAACTATAATTTTATTAATCCAAATTGTTCTAAACTGGTATACTATTCCTAAAAGCTTTATTCTTTCTTTCTTTTGGGGAGTATGGAAATAAAAGCCAGAGCCAGCCACACCTTCAGAGGAGAAGGGACTCTGTAAGCATAAAGTGTCAAAAGGTTTGTTCAAGAGTGTAGGCTCTAGCAAGAACCTTTAATTTTTTCATTAAGACTTTTAATCTCTTTGCATTCATATCAGTGAATTACGTGCTTTGCACATACCTATAATGATCCTTTTTCTTCTCAGCAAAGGTGAAATTAAATCAGTCAATTCTCATTCTCAGTGCCAAGCTTCATACCAAGAGGGAATTAAAAGCCCGAGATAAACTGAGACACATTCTGCCAAAGAGAAAATCAAGGCAGCTAAGCAGCCCCAAGCATCATTTTGAGGTGGCAGCCCTGCTTACCCTTTGCCTGATTTTTTGGTTGTCCCTGTCAATCCAGTTTGATGATGCTAACCCATATTGTCCTTTTGTTTCGGACTTGATAACCTATAGCAAAAGGCAGAAGAGTCTATAGAGAAGGAAGGTTGAAGTGTTATAGGAGAGCACATGCTGAAGGATGTTGTATTTGAACATGAGGAAGGGTTGATAAAGATTGATATTCCTAAAAAAAAAGAAATCTGTGGCTTGTAACTTACTTACTTGAAGCTAAGGTTTGTGACATTGAAGTTTCAGATGCACCCAGGCCAAATCACACAAGTTCACAGCTACGTGCACACCGATCAACAGTGAACCTTCTCCTAGAAGAGTCCTCCAATCTCATCAGAAACCACAATCTGACCATCCTGTGACTCTGCCCAAGGGTATCCAACACCAAACAAGTTGAGCTAAGACCACCTCCTAAAAGTCTGGATTTATGCTCCTGTTTTATGTTGTCCTGTTTATGCATGCATGACAACCTCAAAGTAACAACATCCACAGCCAGCCAGCCTATCGTAAATCACCCGATGTCAGGGGAAAAAAAAAATTAAAATAATTATGGCTTACTTCTGTAACTATCTAGCCCTCTAATGCAGTATCTCCTTTGCTAGGGACAGCTTTGCACCATGTTTACAACACCTCAGGACTGAGGTGCTCTTTCTGAATGTTTTACTTAGCTGTGTAATTTAGCATTTCCTCTCGTTGACCAGGTGTCAGTGAATAATAATTTTATTTTTTTTTATCTTTGTACGGTACAACCACAGTTCTATACAGACAGAAGTAACAAGCAGTTATTCTATATCAAAGGAGGTATTTGTGACTAATATAATGACACAGTATAGAGAAATACAGGTAGAGACCTTGAGAAATGGAGATATGAGATGCAGCGCAGAGAAGTACAGATATGGGGTGATAAGTGATGGGGCATGGAAGAGTGATGAGGATGATGAGATGAGGCCTGGCACAGGAGAGCCCTCAGCTACAAAGAGCTCACCAACAATCAGCTCAGGAAATACAGACCCAGAACCGGACAAAACTGGTTTTACAAATAACAAAGAAATAGCATTTAACATACATAATAGGTACTATACTCTCCCCCCAAGGAGCGTTTCCTCTTTGCATATAAACAGTATTTTGAGCAAACACATTGCAATCTAAACAACCAGATTTGGAAGGAAGGGAAGAGACCACAAATCTCAGTTCCAGGAGCTGACCACATAGAAATAATTGCAAAAGGTCTTGTGATTACAGCCTTTCTTGAGGAAACATAGGAAGTGCTGCAAATAGCTAAGAAAAAAATTCATCCTCCTTCAGCACCCTGTCTTTCAGAGTATCAGCATGTATGGTCAAAAGTGCATCAACAACCTATCACTACCTTGTCCAAACCATTCAATTGTCTCTGACAGGTACATGCTTTATATATATATTGTTTACTTCTTTTTCACACCTATTTGTACACTTTGGCTTACAGAGAATCTTCTGGCACTGTTACACAGAGTACCCTGCTTTAAAAACTTGCTGTCTAGCCACAAAACTGGCCACTCCCGCACTCCTATGTTGTAAAAAGCAATGAGTAACCAACCCCTACTCAATGCTTTTATAAAATGCTTTACATCTTCATTATTTCCTTCTTCAGTTACTGCTATTTCAATTTCCCTTGTACAGGAGCTGTATCATATCTCTGACTCCTACTTACTGCCCTTTTCCACACTTCCTTTTCTTTTTAACAAAAGAAAAAAGGTATCTATGTGGATCGTGAAGTCAAAACCCATATAGTAAATTGCTGACAAGTAAATCACCTTTAATGAAAGCAAATGAGTATATCTTTATTTAACAAAAATTAAGATAGCTGGCATGAAGGAAAATCACTAACCCATAATCTGGATTAAATTACATCAGAGTAGTGGTCATATCAGTAAGTGCTCCCCTTGTTGACTGATCAAAAACTTGAGAATTATTTCTAAATATTTATATACTTTATCATGTGATTCAGTATAAAGCAAGCAAGTATTAGTCTCATTTCCTTGATCCTACATGTAGCAACTACAGAGAGGCTTTTAATCTCTCACAGGAGCTAGAGATAATTAGCTTATGTCTCATTAAGAGTACCAGCAGCTTGTAAATAAAAGAACAAGCGTTTGTGTGGTAAGCCAATGTAAAGAGCACTGCTGCCTTCTAGCAGATAATTTGACTGGAGAAAGCAATTTATAACAACTGAATCTTTTCAGGGAGAAGCTCAATCATGGAAAAAATAGAGGGGAGATTGAAGTGCATGGGAAAACAAGACTTTTGACTTAATTTTCTTCCTCTGAAGCTGAAGAATATCTAACAGTTAATGAAATAAGGTGAGTACACAACTCAGATTAAAGCTTTGCTCTATAATGTTCTTATCTGCTTTCCCCAACCATCTGGATAAACCAGGTGTCAATGTCTTTTTCCTTTTTTTTTAAGCAGTGAATATGAAAATACTAAAAAAATCCTGCATATTTGATAAAAATTATTCAAATTTCCTGTCATGGAGGTTTTTTATTAAAAATTGTAAGAAAGTTGAACAGAGGATTTGCAACTGAGCATTAGATAATCATATTTTTACTACCTGTTTCATGTTTAAAGAGGATTTAACTTCAAACCAAAAGTTAGTTTAGTAAAGATATACTGCCTTCACTCATTTACAGATGTGATATAAAAGTCCAAATATAATGGAATAGGTTGTCTTATTCTATAAAAATGCCCAAATAAACTCAGGATGCATTGTCCTCCCTTTTTGTAAGACAGCGTATATCATCATTAGATGTCACCACAGGTCCAATAAAACCCCAAAAACCTTGACTGATCACTTAAACTACTGGAGTCCCAAAATGCATCTACAGATTTATATACCAATATTCACAGAAAACGTTTTAGCAGAAGTTCAGCAGTCACAACAGTAAAGAAACATTAGGAAGAAAACACTGTTTCCATGATCAGGACCCTGCTACTCTACATGAACACAGAGGGCTGGCCTAGGTTATATTTCTCAATGGAAACTCCATATATTTTGGTTTCTCACAGGAAGTCCACCTTCTCATAGGTCTGTTCAATGAGGGTTAACATGTTCTTCAAGTCAGCAGATTGCTGAATAGTGTTCATGTCCTTTAAAAGATCTTTCTGACCTTTTATCTTCAAAATTTCTTCCTAAAGGAAAGAAAGAATAATAGACAACAAATAAAAAACAGTTTTCACTGAATCCAGCAGAAATTTCACTTTCATGCAGCCTAGCTGTACCTAAATATAGCTAAAATAAAATCTGAACAGAATGAGAATTCTTCCTTCCACCAGTTACAGAGAGATATATTTCAGAAGTGATTACAAGTTCCCTAGGACCATAGAGTTCCCAGGAAAAAGACACGTGATCCTTTAAATGGCTGGTTTTCTAGGGTTTTGTTCCATTTTTCAAACATAAGCATACAGTTCTCAATGAAAAGAAAAAAGAAAAAAAAGAAAAAAAACTTTCAGAAATTTCAGAACTTCCAGAATTGCCCCCTCTGGCAGAGGTAAAGTGATAAAAGCACATTCTGTTGCCTTCCTTCTCATAGCCAAGGTGTGTCTGAAAATGTACACCACCATCACCTGCAAAGTGGGTATCTGTAAACTGCGCTTGGGGAGTTCTGGAAGGTGGAGTACTCCACTGCCATTTTCCTGGAATATCTAGAAAGGAAGAAAGAGAAAGAAAAAAATAGTCAAAAAAAACCCGTCAGGCACACAAGTAGGAAAATAAACTTCTGAAAACGAAATTTCTGAAAACGTAAACTTTTTAACGTTGCAACTAATGTTGGAAAGACTGAAAAGACACATTCCCAAAGGCAAATAAGGCTTTCCTTATATGATGCTCTTTGCAGAAACAGCTTATATGAGATAACTCTGGAAGCTAGCTCATTCCTCTAGGTTAGAGGAGTGCAGCAACATCTATTGGAAATACCTTCCTGGCCTTTTTTTCATCTTCTTCTAACTGGTTCTTGAGCACCTGGATTTTGTACTGCAGTTGCTGTATAGTTTCTTCAATACGTTCTGCTGATTGCTGAGCTTCATTTATTTCTTCCTGAGAAAAAATGGACACAAAAGAGAACAAAATTTTCTTTACAGAGATGGTGAGCCTTTTCTGTACAAGACACTAATAATAGAATCAGCTGAGTCACTGAAAAACAATCCAAAAAGACTCACTGCTCTGTAGCAAAGGTGGGTGACAACGATGAACAGTGGACAACAACTCCACAACAGTACAGGCATAGCCAGCAGTCCATCTACTCAAAGTTACAACACACTGAGCAGCAGCAGAGGGGCAAGATATTTTCTTCCCTTTCATGCTTTTCATACCTGCAATTGTACCAAAGACTCTTCATTTGTCTCAAGCATTTGTTTCTCTGACATTTGAAGGCTCAGGACATTCTTCAGGTTGCCCAGCTTTCCTGGAGGCACCTTTAATGTCTTGAAAAATCTCAGCACCCTTTATTATAGACAAAAGAAAGCATAACTTGTTAGAGTTCTTTGCAAAACAAAAAGAAAACTGACTAATGATTTCTCTGGGGAAAAAACTAAATTCAGTTTAGCCCAATTGCTGCCAGAGAAGTAAAAGAATCCAGCCAGGAAGGAAAGCTGTCTTGAACCGTTTTCCAAAATCATGTGGAGTAGATGTCTAAGGAAAGAACCAGGAACAAGAAATCCTACCATTCTTACCTTTGCTATGACGTTGTCTGGTTTCTATCCCATTGGCCTGTACACTCCCTGACTATAAACTGACATTAACTAATATTTTCCCAGTTCTGATCTTCCTGCTTTTCAAAGTAAAACTAAGTTGTAGAAGCAGCATTTTTAACTGCTTCCAAACAAAGATCATTTAGTAAAGTCTGTAAATG